ACATTCGGATGGCGGGGAAGAAGAACAAACTGGGGAGGAGGGTAGAGAGTGGTGCAGCAATGAAGGAATGAAAACCCAAAATCCCTGTAAATGTTCATTAAAACTAATAAAATTTAATAAAATAAAAAAAAAACCTTAACTGAAAAACATTCTGCAAGATACAGACGTTTAAAGCAAGTCCAGGTAAACATTTTGTTACAGGGCAATATAATCGTGCTCCTGCCAGTTCTTCCAGAATTGTCCCACCACCAGATGCTACCCCAGCTGTTCCCCCCAGGCTCTCTGCACGAACCCCTCAAGGAGTTCTTTCAATATCCAGACACTAAGCTCAAGGCCTATTTCATGCTCTCTCCAAGTCCCTTCCTAAGAGGATGCGCTAAGTCGCCTACATTTTCAAACTCCTAAGGGAGGAGTCTTGGGAAAGAGAAAGGCCGTGGCCCTGACCAGGAGGAGTCCAAAATATATATGCCAAGAGTCAGATGAATGGAGTAGTGGGGGATGGAGAGGGAGTAGCAAAAACACTTACCAACATCCTGATCGAAGGGATTGGTGGCAAAGAGAGGCATCTCCACTGCGTGTCGAGGTGTCCCCAAGGACTCCCCTCGACACTACAGAAGTCAGCGCGTGAAGTCGAAAGAAGACTCTGCAGAGACAAAAACAGTAGCAGCAGCGGTCTCGGCACGGTCCGCCACAGAGCCCTCCCGCGCCCACCCCCAGCAACCGCGGCGGCGGTACCAGCAAAGGAGCAGCGAAGGCCCCGCGCGTGGAGCACGCCGGGATTCCGAGTGACCTCAGCGCTGCCTGCCCAGAACCGGCCCCGCCAGAACAGGCTCAGTCAAAGCTCCCCCTCCGCCTCACTTCCCCGCTCATGAGTCACACAAGACAGTGGGAGGAACGTCTGTGTTTTCTGTTTTTCTCTTAGTTGGGATTCTCTGGAGGGCGGGGTCCTCCAGGCACGCTGAAGCCGACTAGCGCCCCGGGGAGTGAATCAGGCTGAAAGGAAAAAAAGAGGATGCGCTTTGCTTTAAGGCTGCTGCTTTTCAACGCTCGCTGTCAGTTGTCACCACCATACAGACAGCCCCTATGAAGGAAGAGCATGGCAATGCCTTCAGGTTGGATCTTTAAGTAAACTTCTTAGGAGTTCAAGTCGCTGTTGGAGACGGCGTGAAATGAGTTTGGAGGCAGTCATGTGAGCTGAATGGATTGGTTGCGATCTCTACAGAGTGTCTGGCGCGGGACTCCTTAGGAGAGGTGAGGTAACGCTGGCACCTTCCCCTGAGTCCCTGCAGGCCCGTCAGAACTTATGTCGACAGCACTTCTAGTAAGGCGCCTGCATCTCCTGGCACCTAACCGTGCCGTCATTAAGCAGTTGTGAATTTTAGAAACGAAGTCACAACTCAAGAATTTCCACGATTCCCCGCCCCACTCCACCCCTTGGTAAATTAAGCAAAATTAGAACTAGAAAATAGTGATTTCCAGCAATTTTAAATGTTTAACAATTTTATGTTTATTTAATAAAAATAACCTATTTGAGCCTGAATTTTAAGGTGCATTTAGTAGAGATTTTGTTTCTCACTTGAGATGGGTTTCATAAGAACATCTCCCGTGTAAACTGAAAATATGTAAATTATACCCAAATTGTTGTTGTGTACCATCCAGTCGGAACATATCCATAGCTGACCCTCCAACTGCTTTTCAGAGGCAGTTAACCACTTGGGAGGAGACTGCCCATCTTTCTCCCATGGAGCAGCTAGTGGACCTGAGCCGCGTGACTCAGGAATTGCAGTACAGATTCTTACCAATAGGCCTCCAAAGCTCACTCACTACATTGTTGTGGTGGTCATGTGCTGGCAAGTAGCCTGAGACTCCTAGCAACCCAGCATACAACCCTATCCCTGAGCCAGTCACACCTAATCCCATCACCCCAGTTATCGTGTCAGTCCATCTGATCCCAGAGGAAAAGCTCCCTATACCCAAGTTATTCGCCTTTAAATATTCCATATATGTATAACTGTTTGCCACACATCAACAAGAAAACCATTAACTTCGTGTACAAAGATTGGAGTCTCTGAATGATACAAATGGCTTACTCTCAGTTGTTAAACAAAAGGTTTGAATCCATCCAGAAGTGCCTTGGAAGAAAGGATTTGCAGTCGGCTTCAAAAAAAATCAGGATTTTAAAAACTATCAAGCAGGGTTCCATTCTGATACATGTAGAGTAGCAGTAAATGGGAATCAACTCCACAGTTACTGCTTGTACAAAGACTACTTACAAAAACTCACTAAAGATGACTTCTCACTTCTACAAGTGAAGAAATGCAAATGAAATAGCATTTGGTTCACTATACAGTAGTTAAAGCTTTTGATTTTTTAAAAATACCACTCAAAAAGAATTATGCTGCTCTGATAGGGGCGGGAACTCATACACATATTGTTGATTGGCATGTAAATTATTACAATCTCCCAAAAGGAAGTATTTGAACATCTGTGACAAGCTTTTAAAAATGCAAATAACCTTAAGCCCAGAAGTTCCTCTCGGAATGTCCATTGAAAGTGTGCTGCTAACTCCAGGGATACTGGTTTCCAGAGGTTTAGGATCTACGGTGGTTTTAAGGGAGAAAAGCAAGCAGTCTCCTCCATCATGATTCACAGCCGTAGAAGCCTGATGGAGTTTACTACAAGAACCAACTTGAGGCAGCGAGTTTGAAAGTTATTTAATTTGGGTTTGGGTTTGGTTTTTTGGGGTTCTTTTTAAGTCGTAAAAGCCACCAACAAAAATACTTATACATTGTTTATAATCTTTACTTATCAGGAAGGTCCAGTTGCCTAGTAGTAAGGAGTTGTGCTGTTAACTGAGCAGTTCAAAATGACCAGCTACTCCACTAAAAAAGATGGGTAGTCTCCTCTGCTGGGAATTATAGGCTCTGAAAAGTCAATGGAAGGTCAGCAATAACTCAGTTCCAACTCAACCACTCTACTTATTAGCTGTCTTATTATTTAATATATTGTATGTATGACAATAGTAAAAATAATTTGTTATCCTACTATTTTGCACATTTAACAACATATGGCAGGAAACACAGAGATGTGAAGTGAGAGTAAGTCTGGCTATGATCATTAAAGCTATATGTCAACTTGGCTGGATTGTGATTATTCATTTTTGGCAGTTATGTAATCATATAATCATCCTTTGCTTTCACGTAACACTGATTTTCCAATAACAACTTGTCTTTGGAACCCAAGCATACCTAGAAGTGAGGAATGGATAGATAAAGCATTACAAGACACTTAAGTGTTCAACATTAATATATTAGGCAAATTACACCTGTTGTTGCCTCAGTTTCCTCATGTTGTGTTGTTGTTATGTGCCATCGAGTCGTTTGCGACTCAGAGCAACCCTATGTACAAGAGCTCTAAATGCCGTTCTATCCTGTGCCAACCTCACTGTCTCAAACACATTCATTCCCACCACTGCACTCACAGAATCGATCCATCTCATCAAGGGTCTTCCTCTCCTGCAGTGTCCCTCCACTCTCCCAAACATGATGTCCCTCTCCAAGGACCAGTCCCTCCTTGCAACATGCCCAAAGTATGTCCGATAAAGCTTCAGAATCCTTGACTCCAGGGAACATTCTGGCTTCACCCTGTCCAGGACAAACCTATTTGTTCTCCTAGCAGTCCATGGTATATTCAACACTCTTCTCTTCTCCAGCACCACAACTCAAAGGCATCAATTCTCTTTCTATCATTCCTATTCACCTTCCAACTTTCCAATGCATAACACATAATTGCAAAGACTATAGCCTGAATCAGGGGCACCTTAGTCTCCAACCTGACGTTGTTGCACTTCAGTACTCTTGAGAGGTCCCTCACAGATGACTTTCCCAATGCAATTCATCTCCTGATTTCCTGGCTACTGTTACCAAGAGTGTTGACTGTGGAACCAAGTAAATGAAAACTGTTAACTATCTCAATCTCTTCACCATCCATGCTGATGCTGCCAATTGGCCCAGTGGTGAGAATCTTTGTTTTCTTGCTATTGACCTTCAATCCATATTGAAGACTGCAGTCCTTGACCTTCTACATCAAGTGCTTCAGGTCCTCCTCAGTTTCAGTGAGCATATGTAAAAAAATATTACAGTGATAAAAATAG